TTTTTTGGCGGAACTGGGGATTGAACTCAGATCCTTGCATTTGCCAGTCAAGCGCTTATCCTACTGAGCCATCTCCCCGGCCCCTCCAAATGTGTTCTTATAAATTGTCAGCTTGTGGATTTCTCCATGTACCAAGTATGATTGAAAAACAGCGTGAAAGTGAATGTTTACATTTTTTGAATTAGTGTAGTGAAAGACGCAGCGCCAGCAAACTCCCCTCAAAGTGATCCCCCATTTCACTTATCCACGGTTCCTGCCACTTCCTGAAGCAGCTTAAGAAGGCCTCTTCCGGGGGCTGGAGAGATGGCTCAGTGGTCTAAAGCACCTACTTAGAACAAGTTCAGCGAAGCATCAGGGACCACGGTTCGATCCCCCAGCACCACATGCCAGCCAGCCCCGCCCCCTGGTGGGCTGAGCTGGCCACACACACACACACCACTCTCTCTCTCTCTCTCTCTCTCTCTCTCTCTCTCTCTCTCTCTCTCTAATAAATAAAAAAAAATTAAAAAAAAAAGAAGGCCTCTTCCGCAGCTGTCTTTAGTTGGGCTGCAGTGGCTGTCTCAATGACCTTTCACAGTCATTTTGACCTTGAGAAGAGCCAGAAGTAACAAGGGGCCAGTGTCAGTGAGTAAGGTTTGATGAAGACACACCATCATGTTTTTATTTGACATAAGTGGCCATAAAAGTTTTTAATGGGTTTAGGACCTCAAGGCAGCCAGTGAAAGACGTGAATGAGGACCTCCAGAACCACTTCAGAAGGTGGCAAAAATGATGGAATAAATGGGCTCTAAGTGAAGAGGAGTTCTTTTGACTGTACTGAAATGGCAGTGTATTTTTACTATGATTTTATTTTTATTTTTAATTTCAACATTCACCATATTTTTTATCCTCCCTCAATTGGTAAGTAGATTCTTCCCTATCATTTCCCTTCCTCCTCCTTGGATGGTAATTAATGATTTGATTTCATGTGTTTATCTTTCTTATACTGCCAGATAGTAAGCTCCTAGGAGACAGGAACCAGCTTGCATTTCTTCTGTATCCCCCTTTGACAGCTAACAGTATTATGTCTGCAGAAATAATCACTGAGTTCTGGTAGAAGCACCATGGAGGAGACATGAGGCGACTAGGAGGAGAGTCCTGTTTGGACTCCCCCAGAGTGTCACACATGACCTAGACCTACTCATCCAGCACCTCCTCCTACCGCCACACAAAGCCTCAGCTGAGTGAGGCCTCTAAATCTAAAGATGTCTTCCTGTTCCTGGAGAGGCAGAGCCAATATAATCAAAAATGACCATACTTCCAAAGCTATTATACAGGTTTAATGTGATCCCAATAAAAATACAAATTGGATGGCTTACAGAACTAGGGAAAGCAATTGTAAAATTCATATGCAACCAGAAAAGACCTAGAATAGCAAAAGTAGTTCTAGGCAAGAGCATAGAAGGGGGCATCACAATCCTGAACTTCAATTATACCATAAAGCTACAATGATAAAAACAGCATGGTGCTGGGGGGAAGAAAGAGCTTTGGATCAACTGGACAGAACAGAGCACACAGAAACAATTTCAGGGGCCGGGAAGATGGCTCAGTGGAATAAGCGCTTCCCTGGCAAGCAAAAGGGTCTGAGTTCAATCCCCAGTTCCACCAAAAAAATTTTAAAAATAAAAAGAAAGCTCAAGGCTGCCAAAAATGTCCTGCTTCTGTTATTTGTTGAATCTGTACTTCCGATTTGATTTGAAACTGTCTCATTGCTATCTGTTTATCAATAAAATTTTGAAAAAATAAATAAATAAATACAAAAAAAAAGAAAGAAAAAAGAAACAATTCCAGGCTCACTCAGCTACTTTATCCTTAACAAAAGGACCAATTGCGTTCACTGGAGGAAAGATAGCTTCTTTTAAAAATGGTGCTGGGAAAGCTGCCTATCCACTGCCAAAGACTGAATCTATATCCATCTCTCTCACTATGCACTAAGCTAAAATCAAAATAAATCAAAGATCTAAAGATTAAAACAGAAACACTTAATCTACTGGAAGATAAAATAGGTAAAACTCTTGAAGTCATAGATGTCTGCAAGGGCCTTCTGAACATAACCATGGTTGCACA